TATCTACATAGATGAAACAAAACGTTTCGATTAAATAAATAAATAACCAGCAGCGCATCGTTTAAAAAGTTTTTCTTCCTCCACTCTCCATCATCACTCATAACCGTTGATAACTGAATCTACATTATTAAATGCTATAGCTGCTGTAAAATATAATTTTTTTGCCTGTGCATTTTCTTTTTTTTCGCTCGTCTAGTTTTTTCCTTTTTTCTTTTTTACCATTAAGTTTTTCCTTCTATTTCAATGTACATTGAAGGTCGATAATGGGGTTCGCCCCGCTGACCTTGTTCGGTTGAGAATGAATAAAGACATAAAACAAAACAACAATCGATGCAAAACTTTGAATAATATTCAAATTTTAGTCTTTTTCTGTTATTTATGTTAAATCTAAAAGTTAATCATGATAAGAAAAAATTAATTAGCCTTTTTTTATGAATCGTTTAAGTGAATAGCATTATGAAATGGCGATTTTATTCAACATCGCAGATAATAAACCGCGGTCGATTGGAAAGTCCTTTTGTTCCTTATACAAAGGGTGAAAAAACTTTATGAAGTAAAATAAAAAGAGAGCACTATACAATGTATAGTTCTTTTAAACTGTTCATTTCGTCAATACTGAATCCACTATAAATCCAGATACGAAATATGAGTGACAGGCACTCGTGTGGAACAAATCAACATGAAATTTCTTGAAATTGATGAACATCTAACGCTTTAGAGCACTACATAGGCGTGCCCACTGATGACCAGTTGCAATTCTAATTTATTAAACGGAAATTGATTTTTTCCTAACTTTCGCTCACAACTGGGTTTTGTAGAGCAAATATTTACCATAAGATGAGCTATGAAGGCACTGTAGTGCCTATGCAGTACTTACAGAAAAACTATTTCTTACAAGCTCTGAAGTCGGTTACAACCGAACAACCAGATAAAACAGGTTTGGAATCCTTCGCTGAAAAGTGAATGCGGTAGAAAAAGAAAAGTTAAAGATTTCATGAAGAATTCATATTTGCTGTATAAACTCTGTTGGAAAAATATTTTCATATGCGTACGTTTCATACAATTCGGTCCAGAAAAAAGTGAAATATATCGGATAGCGCCGGTGCTTGCGTAGCACTGGACAGTAAATGAGTTCATATGGCCCACCATCTGTACTCATTCCCGCGACGAATTGTGAAGAAATCATATGTTTTTATCAGTACCTCCAATAAAGTTAATCGTCAAGTGTAAATTTTGTTCTACTACCGTTTCATTTGCTCGAATTTTGCTGGTTTATCAGGTCCATATCTTATCATATCTGCCATTTTGACATAATTCGTCATCGATGAGACATCCATACAAAAATCTTCACAACTTTCTGCTAAATAAACTTTCTAAACTTGCAAAATTACCTAATACACATAATATTCATAGTTGGATATGCGTATGCGAAGGTTATACATCAACTAAAAAAGAACACGGACAACAAAAAGATAACGCTTTTGAAAAGTATCAGAAAGCTTTAGAAATATTTAATTCAACATTATCAAATAAACATTTAGATATTGCACAGGTCTATTTGCTTATCGGTAATCAATATTTTAATTATAAAGAACAATTGAATAAAGCTTTAGAATATCATGACAAAGCATTCCAAATTTATATGCAAACGTTAAATAAAGAACATCCAGATCTTAAAGATTGTAAATATCGTATTGAACAAGACAGAAAATGTATTGGAGGAATCCAATGATTTTTTAAATATTATATGGAAGCCATTGGAAAAAAATTTGAATAGTTTCAAATGCAACTACACTTTCTCAAAAAATTCAAGAATCTTTGATGGATTAACGAATCTTTTGCCTTCTTCCCAGTCAAGAAATAATATCAAGAGGAGTATGGTGGAGCGCTCTTTTTGAAAAAAAAGAAAAGGGTGCTCCAAAATGGAGTAATCTTGATAACCCTTTCTTAAGAATTACTCGGGAGTACTCGAAGTGCATGTTCTCTAAAAGAGTACTCCAAAAACTACGTTTTTGTTGAAGTGCTCTGCAGTGCCTCGGCTGCACTTTATAAAAATGAGTGCTCCGAAGCGCTCTTTTTTTGAGGAGTATTCTGGACTACTCCAAAAAAAGAGTGCTCTGGAGTGCTGTTAGTAACTTTTCCAAAAGGAGTGTGAAAACGGAGTACACCTTCATACTCCTACTTCTGACCTTTTTTTTGACTGGATCTATCTTCAGTAGACTGTGTCAATTGATCTACAGCACACTGATATTGACATCTGTTTATGTAACTCCTATCGTGCTCCAACTACTTCTTTTCCTTCTTCAGCCGCTGCGTTAGAATACTTTGATCAGCTGGAATCGTTTTTGTTTCATAATCTGCCAGTGATATACGATCAAATTCTGTTATCG